ACTAAGCAGAACTTGTCTCATGGAGCCAATCACGGCAACGGCTTCCATTGGAAGTTTGAAACATATGAAACAACATCTCTCTCTCTCTCTCTCTCAAAGGAAGGAGGTGGACCAAGAGAGAGAGAGAGCACAAACGAGAAAATCAAAACATTTCTTGCCAAGAGACAAATTTTTTTCAGTGTCCCTCTTCAACTGCCCAGGAAATGAGAAGTGGACTTGGTTTCCTCCTTCAATAACCAAGACTTCGTTTTTGTCCTAACTTTAACCTGCTTATATTTCCCTAAAAAGCCACAAATAAACTGTTATTTGTACAATCTCAAGGATAAAAGCCCAGCCCCAACTCATCACCAAGTTCATTTTGGTTAGAAAGAGAAATCACTAAAAAGCCATTGACACAGTCTTGAACCCCATATACTGGGATATTGGTAACATCATTAGCATTTATATCTCCAGCTTTCACTTTACGTCATTCAAATCATGTGATTTGGCATCTATGTACGAAAATAAAGATGTGAATGATTCACTGTTTCAACTGTTAGTCTGAGCATGTCCAAAATTGTGGTTATTTACCCAAGAATAACTTTTTTTATTGTGAATTGACAATGTTAGTTCTCAGGTCATTCCTTCCACTCGAAAATATCACTCAGTCAACTTTATCATCACTGCACATACATATTCTAAATTTTGCTGCGGTAAAATGGTAATTTACATGTATTCTATGCCAAATTTGCCATGGTGGAATGATAAATGACAAAATGTGAAAATAAAAAAAAAATCATCCTGTGGTTAAATGGTAATTTATGGTTTGAGATCCCTATTATAGAATAGGAAATTGTCTATATTATCCATGGACAAGGCACGGTAGATGAATTTTTTCAATATGAAACAGCACTTTTACTACAGCTCCAACCAGATGCACTATATGCTAGTCTACCATTATTTATTTCTTTACCATCAATACACAATGGAATTTGGGCCTATATCTGCTCAAAGCAGCACTAAGTCACCATGATGACTAGTTTCTATTACTCCTTGTTTAGAAGCATGACTGATGTCCCAGTCAAACATATCTTTCAATTCAGCAAGAGGAACTGAAAGATAGAATAAAATCAAAAATGTGCACCTGGTCTTTGATTGCAAGAAAAGGTCTGATCCTTCAGGTGTATCCATAAATGCCTCCAAGTCATTCCAAAAAGATTCCTTTGAAAATACTTCAAGCTTCTGAGAATCACTTTCTGTTTGGTTCACATGTTCTCTGTAATGCTCATCTGAATGATTAGAGTCAGAAGTAGTTTTCCAAAATTTACAACTGCTCCAAATCTGGTTACGAAAAATGGGACTCCTAATAGATTTGTCACAACTAGTTTCCACATTAATTTTTTCATCCATAACTGAGGCATTACTGACAGAAGAAAATGAAGCAGCTCCTATTGACTCAGCGGACTGACTTGCAGAATTGACACATTTTTCTCCAGTTCTCATCTTTTCAGCAGAACAATTTTCTGGTTGACTACCACTTTTCTTATCAGAAACATCGTATCTACCACGAAAAAATATCCTCCAGATCCTTTTGACAAATCCCACTTTAGGTAGAGAATCATGTTCCTGCACAGGATGCGAATGATCCTCAGCTGCTTTGGCGTAATTTATAACCTCACCAAGTGGTGCGGTTTCTTGCACTGTTTTTGGTGGCTCTTGCACTTTTTCAGGCGGTTCTTGCACTCTTGCTTTGGGTTCTTGTACTTTTGTTGTTGGTACTTGCAATTTTTTTGGAGGATCTTCAACTGTCAGAGGCAATGATTTAGTCTTCCCCACACCTCCAGTGCAGGAAGTGTCTTCAGCATTTAACTTAGGAGTAACAATGATATCTGGCTCCCCATTATCAGTAACAGGCCCTGTAGGCATGCCAGGAGTGGACTCAACTTGGTCGGGGACTTCTGGGGCAACCCCACGTACAAAAAACTTGCCATCACCGCCTGAATGAAGCTTCAAAATATGGGGAATTGCTAGAAGAAAACGAGAGAACTTTTTATACCCATACAGGTCTTTATCTAAACTCACATTACTCTTCGCTAACTCGGCACGAAGGTCTGTAATAAAGATTCCTTTGGGATGTGAATCCAATATATGGCGAATGTGCTTCACAACTACCTTTGGAATCTGACGAAGCTTAGGATCTGAACTGGAGTCAGACAACTCTTCAACCTGGAAACAAGATAGGTGCTCCGTAACCGCAAAAGGGTCTGCAAGAGGTGCCGAATAATGGCCATACCAAGAACCATAGGGACCATCTGGAGGTTGGTTAAAATGCTTTCCATTAAGGTTTTCTCCTCTGACCAAAGCATTCCATTGCCACATGATACTTGCAGCACTGCAAAGAACACCAGGAGCATTTTCTGGACCAGCAAGCAAAATATTGTAATTGTTCATTCTTAAGCGGTGCAAAATGCTAGCGAAATCTCTGTCACCAGAAATTAAGAAAAGATGTGCAGGAGGAGGATTTTGAGAAATCCAATACATAAGATCTGCAAGAAGAGACCTATCTGCACCATTCTTTCCACCTGAATTCATAAAAAATTATGTGAGATGAATGATTTAGGCGTGATAACAATAAACAAAGAGAAATTTCTAAATGATGGAAGCATAGTTAGACCAAATGACAAATACTCAAAGAACATGAACAGGTCACTGCCATTTTCAAATATTTTAGTATCCAGAAATGAAAAATGAAAATCCTAACAAGAAGAAACAATTCCACTTCGATATACAACGCAACCATTACAATCAAGATGCCATCAAACAAATTGGAATGCCTCTAAGGCATAATGCATTAGCTGAACAGCTTTTGTAATTACTCTTCGTGCTTGTAGGTTTTGTGCAGTGACAGAGTTAATAGCTGTTTCAAGAGGGTGCACAGTGCAATCACTTTCTCCATAGTATTTCGGTTGTCCTCTGAATTTCCTTACAAGCCATGTTAGTTTGCAACTTCTTCGCACAGACGTTAAATATAAAGACAGCAGGAAGAAAGTATGTCCAAACATGGTAGCCTCGGTTGAGTAAAAGCACACTATCCAGCCTTCCAACATGTTTAATAACAATTCTATTATTTCAGCAGTCTGCAAAAAGGTTCAGAATACTTATCAGGGGCTTTCAGCAAAGCAGGAAGGGAATGAATTGAAAATATTACTTGGGTGAGTAAGAAGAGGAATTCGTGATAGAATTACTTTAAGGTTAAAAGGCCATGATAGATAGTCTTTGTGGAACAAATTCACCCAATGGTCAAAAAGGAAGCCAGGAAGAAGTAGTGAAATATGTTCAATCAAAGATGCTGATGGCATTACTGCACTTTTCGGAAACCTCATCTAAATAGGTATGAATGATGCTTCAATGGCTAATCATTATAGAATCTAACAAGTGACATGCTATGGAACATTATATTTCAGAATGTAGTTCTTGAGTCGGAGGTCGGAGAGGTGGAGTTGCTTAAATGGCCATCAACGGAAAGCTAGTCTTGGTGGAGAGGATGTTGCAAAGTGGGAAATTTTGAGGGGCAATCATTTTAAGGAGAAGTATACTTCTCATCATCTCGTCAATCCAATTGTTTTTGGGCACCAGTCTTTCAATAGATGGCCACACTTTGGAAAAAAACTTCAGCAAGTGTCACTCCGACATAAAAAAGAATAAGGTGTTCCTAATTGGTTTTGTGCAAGGTGCGGAAGCAAAGCACAAACTTAGTCTCATACACCCACTCAGAATGATTAGTGGACAAGATTGGTCCTTTTCTGTTAAAGAAATCTTATAATCTTCATATTCTACTAGTTTAACTTGTGTGCACGTTGTGGGTTTCACAATTCATAATTTCTTTGTAAGCTCGGTCTGTTTGAAAAACATACTTGATGTTTGATAGTTAGCAAGCTCGCATACATTTGGATGTCTATCTTTACTAACCAGCGCATATATAGATACTGAAGCTTATTTACTGCCGCAGATCTTGTGTTTGGCATTGTAAATTCTGGAACATAACATAACAAACACCCCTCCAGCAGTTTTAGAACTTAGTATTTAAGAAAAATCAAGAACACAAGGTGACGAAGTGATCAAAAATATGTGCAAAACATTAATCGTTAGCTTGTCTTAAAACTTCAAATAGATGGATCACGTCTAAGATATGTATATACACAAAGAGGATATAATGTAATGTGACCGTACTCCACTCTGCTTCAAGAACCCTCAAAATGAACAAATATTTAAAGTGTGTTTGAATACACAACGATACCATCAATGTAACAAATGAACTGTAGGTTCAAGCAAAATGGCGAAATAGAAATCCAGTTCCATTGATTAGATTTACTAGGGCCACAATGCATGCGTCATGCACAACGAAAGCCTCAAATTGTGAACATCCACTTCCTCAAAGCAGGAAAAGAAACTAAAAACTCTTAATTTAAGGGGAAAGAAGTGCGAGCATAATTTATTCATAAAAGGGAGAAAATGTAAAGCAAAAGGAACAGAAAACTGTTAAGAGTACAACCAGACCCCAAATAAAGGGGCACATCCAACCGAAGTGTTGCAAAAACCTTTCAGATCATGAAAATGTAAACTAGGTTAGTTCATATAAAATGAAATCCTTGGGGACTTTGGGGAAAGACTATATGCCTTATCACATACCGATTTTTGAGATCCATATGAATTCAACCATCACTACCTTAGGTAAAACTCTCTTTTCATGCAAAAAAAATGGCTCCACTAAAATGAAACATAAAATAACCTGACCTACGCAACTTATGGACACATATTGTCTATCTCCATCAATCTATTATACAAACCTGGAAAACCTTCCTGCTCAAACCTCCAACAAAGCAAAAATCAGATTTGATTTAACAAATCCTAGATGCCAATATGCCATTGAAATGCAGAACCAGATCCATGTGATCTCTGAGTATGTTACCACTATTAGATCAACTCGTGTTGACACTCAAGCAGATTATTTGGTGGGATCCAAAGAGATGCTACAAAAGATCTTATCTATCAAAGTCCCTCAACAATGCTTCTCCTAAAAGATTCTAAAGTACAGATGCTTTACCAACTGTACAAAGCTGTAGCATGGGCTAGCTGTTGAACTAAGCTACTATTTCTAGTTTATTCCATGAATACTAGATTCATAATGTTTTGCGTTATATGCTGTTATTGTTGAGTACATTGCTCAGTATGTTCTACATGCTAGCTTGAGTCTCTGGCTTTAGATAAGAGAACTCACGGACACTGCTTGACTCTAACAGTCTCTTGTTTTAGTCTCTAGCTCTTCTATTAATTGACAAGATTTCTGCCAAACAAGTTTCCATATTTCCTTTAGAGATCTTAGATGAACAAACAAGGTCATATGCTTCATTTTCACTGACAAATTCAATGTCTTGTACAACTTTTGATTCATCCCTAGTTGTCGACATCATTTATGATGCATTTTTTAAACCCTCTCACTTCTCTTCTCCAAGCTAATCCCACCACCTGTTAGGCTCCAACTACGAGTGAGGATGCTGCCACATAAAAGGGAGAAAATTCATTTGAAAGGTTCAGAGTCCAAAGAATGAAACAACAATCAGCCACCAGCCAATACAAAGCTTCCAATAAAGCACTATTGAAAGATTCCTCTGGCATTGGAACTGAAAGATGTATACCCAACCTATTGCAAACTAAGTGTTTTTAGAATTTCAACCCAGTAAAAGAATCCTAAGAGAGAGAATGATCAATACACCCACATTCCCTATGACTATCAAAATCTATTGCACTTTTAGTAACCCTAGATCCACAACTTGCAGTGAACATGCCTAGCAACATCAAAGGGGGCTTTGCCTAGAGGTGCTATTATGCTCGGGCAGTCGGGCGGGCTAACAAGTGCAAGATGGTGCATTCGAATATGAGGACCACCACTTTGAGAAAATTACCAAAGCTTCAGCGTGAACCACCAATGCATCCCTCAGACTGCCTCCGATAACAGGGACTGAGTGAATAATGGCCTTTTGACACAAAATCACCCACAACCCATTTCAGAAGAGCGAGCTCAAAGAATTAGTGCGCCTCATATTTGTACATTAGTAACCCAACATTCCAGAATTTGCAGCCTTTTTTTTTATAACAATTCACATAAGCAATCCGCAACAACTCGGTTTCACACACTATTCACAACTAAACATCAAATTATGACCAGAGAGACTAATTTAACCCAAAGAACAGAACAAACCATGAGGAATGTGAATGAGATTGATCCCAGTCGACGATAGAGCCTCCTGGTTTGCCCTCGAAAGCTGCATTACATCCCCAAAAGCCGTAATTTGAATCGGACCCCTTATCCTACAACCCCTAATAGCGGCCGTAATGCTCTGAGCAACTCTGAAAGCATTTGCACCGGCCGGTAATGAGCAATTCTCGAAGTCCCACCACACCGAGACCCTCACATTCCGGCTCTCCTCGTCGTGGCGCCGAGACGGGTAGGAAGGATTAGGTGAAGAATGATATGGGTTTGAAGAAGAAGCTGAAAAGTGAGAGACTTGGAAAAGGGACTGTTTGCAGGGTTTGGCAAATGGGTTGATGTGTGAATAGAAAATGAAAAGGGTTTTTGGGTAGTGGGGTTTCATGGTGGAGATGATCAGAATTAGGGTTAGAGGTGGTCTCAGAGATGAAATTTAGGGTTTTAAGTTCGGAGTGAGAATGGAAAATGTACTCTGACATTTGATGAATCGCACAGTGGAGGAAAGTGGTATTGAAGGTCAGTGAGAGTTCAGTGTATAATGGCAGAAAGAGAGAAATGGAGCGCTAAAACCCTTCTCAAAACCCTAACGCACGTGCGTATCACATGGTTACCTGGCCTTAGTTTTGATTTATTTAGAAAATTTCCTGACCCAAAAAAAAAACTAATTAGAAAATTTTCCCCATATTGAAATCCAAATTTTGAGCGTGGGTCTTATTGCGGCATTAACGTTAAAGTTTGGCGTAGGGGTTTGATTTGTGAAAATAATAATTCTATCATGCATATTGTGTATTATAATATTCTATCAAAAATTTTAAATTAATATATTTCTATGCCTAAATGGAAGTTGAAGAAATATCAACACACACCCTTGAACTAAAAGAAATTTATTGTCCAAAAAATCAAACATAAGTGCTTTTTATACAACAAACTACAGCCGGCAACAAAGCATTTAATATCTTTTTTAAAGGACATATCTTTTGTTTAAAAAGAAGAAAAAAAATAGTACAAGTCAACGACTAATCATTTTTAGGATTTTATGCCCGAGCGTAGAACTTGTTTGATTTTCTTTCCTTTTTTTTTTTCATTTGAAACTACTTAAAACATTTCACCTCATTTTGTAATTATTATGGATTAATTATAAAATAGGTCCTTCAAATTTAGGTCATGTTATAATTAACTATCTCTAGTTTTAATTGAACAAATTACCCCTCAAAGTTTGAAAAATTTTCAATTAACTCATGTCGTTACTTTCAGCCATTTAAGTCACTGTTCATATTGGATCGATATTATGATCCGAAAAATACCACTAATGATAAAATGTCAAACAAATAAGGTACGTACTATTTTCTTAATCTCACCCCCTTATACCACCTTTATCCTCCAACCAAACATACCCTAACCCCTTGTTTGATTGGAGGAAAAATAAGGAGGATAAAAAATGGAGGAAGGAAAATGGGAGGGAAGACTCCACTTTTCATTGTTTGTGATGGGTTAAGCCCAAATAGTCCAATTCATGTGTTAAAGTCCAACTCCAGTTGAGGAGCCCAACCTCATTTTGAATCTACAAGCCCAAGACAGTCCAAGACCGGTTAGACTTTTTGCTTAGCACGTCATCAAGAGGAGAGCATGAGAAGCTTATCTGCACCACCGAAGGAAACGGTCCAAACTTTGACCACGTTTCATGAAGAGCTCCCCAACCTCCTCCTTCCGTTGAGGATAAGTCATGATCTCCACCAGAATGATCTCTTAGCTGCGATAAAGTAGCCTTGAGAATAAGTCATGATCTCCACAAGAATGATCTCTTAGATGCTATAAAGTAGCCCCAATCTGGAGGAGACGAAAAAAGAAGGTCACGCCCCACCAACACTTACAGAGGACAGACCGACGACCGGAGACCACTCCTTCTTTGATTCTCCATTCTCTCAAAGCTTGTATCTCTATTCTCCATACCTCTGAATTAATAAAATACCCGGCAACTGAAGCCATTGAAGAGTGGACGTAGGTCGAATTGACCGAACCACTATAAATCGTGTCTTCTTTAATTTTTTCATTGATTTCACTGCATTTATTACCTACACTTGACAGGTGGTGTGCAAAACCATTTTTGTGCATCATCAGTTTGGCGCCGTCTGTGGGAATTCGACAAAATTCTCACTCCTGAACATTACATCCATTAACTAATGGCGATCACTACTCGATCCATGAACCAACATGAAGACAATCCTCCACGAGAGGAGGAGGTTGCTCCCCCGCCTATCAACCCTGTTCCGGATACTCTAGCCCCGAATCCCCAGCAAATATTGGAGACCATGCAGCAACTGGTTGCTCAAAACCAACAGTTACTGCAACTCATACTTGCTGGACAAGGAGGAGCACCACACGGAGGTGCACAGCATGGAGGACACCAAGGTGGAGCACCACACGGAGGTGCACAACATGGAGGGCCCCACGGAGGTGCACAACATAGAGCACCCCAAGGAGCTCCACGTCCTGGACATCAAGGAGCACCACGCCCTGTTGCTCCATGCCCGGGCGCCCCATTGGGCACCCCACTTCGGGAAGCCCAACATGAGGGAGCTCCACCTCCCCCTCCCCTTGCTTCCCAGGGAGAGGACCCTTATCTCCAGGAGGATGAGGGTGAAAACCAAAGCATGGAGCATGGAAGCCACTTCCATGATCATTCCAGAGGAGCCCCCAATCATTGGGACGAAAAGATAAAGGAGGTACAGAATCAACTCGGTGATGTCTTCAACGCCATGAAGGCACAGGGACCCGAGACTGTTGACCACCTGGTAAGGCGTACTGATACGCCTTTCAAACCTGATGTAGCAAACTACCCCCTTCCTCAGAAGTTCAAAATGCCATCTGTGGAGACCTTTGATGGAACAAAGGATCCACTGGACCACCTCGACACTTACAAGACCTTGATGCAATTGCACAACGTACCAGACGAAATCATGTGCAGGGCATTCCCAACCACGTTAAAGGGGTCTGCCCGACAGTGGTTTGCTAAGCTCTCCCCCGCCTCTATTTCCTCTTTCGTCGAGCTTAGCAGATCATTCGTCTCACACTTCATTGGAGGGCGTCGCCACCAGAAGCCAGTTACGCACCTGCTTAGTATAAAGCAGGATCGCGAGGAGAGCCTGAGGAGTTACCTCACTCGTTTTAACGAGGAGGTACTCCAAGTTGATGAACCCGACGACAAGGTGACGATGACCGCCTTCTTGGGTGGCCTCCGTTCATCAAGCTTCCTTTTCTCAGTTCTGAAGCGTTCACCGAAGAGCATGCCAGAGCTGCTAGCCAAGGCCCAAAAGTACATAAACGCAGAAGACATCACAAGGGCCAGGCGGGGTGAGTCTTCCAGAGCAGGGGATAAAAGGAAGGAAAGGGAGAGGGACGATAAGAAGGGGACCAGCAACAAACATGGCAGGACAGAGAAAGTCCCTGTCAAGGACCGGCTAGGTCCTGCTCCTCAGAGGAACCGTCAACCCTTCACTCCCCTCAATGCTTCCGTGGAACACATCCTATTCCAGATCCAGGATGACCCCGCGATAAAGTGGCCTGGAAAAATGAAGTCTCCTCCAAATCGCAGAAATCCTAACAAGTATTGCCGCTTCCATCGTGACCACGGGCATGACACCGACGATTGCTACGACCTCAAGAGGCAAATTGAGGGGCTCATCCAGCGTGGTCACTTACGCCAGTACGTTGCTGGAAGGGAACGAGCACCACAACCTCACAACCAGGAAGATCAGCAGCCAGTGGGGAAAATACACACCATCTCAGGGGGACTAGCAGGTGGGGGAGAATCACTTTCCGCGATGAAGGCCCATGCCAGGAAGGCAAGACATGTCTACGAGATGCGCCCATCTAAGGTGCCGAAGCAGGAAGGCGACGTGGTCATATCTTTTTCAGACAAGGACCTGGAGGAAATCCAACACCCCCATGACGACCCCTTGGTGCTCACCATGACGGTGGCCAATTTTCATGTGCACAGGATCCTGGTGGATAGTGGCAGCTCTGCGGATATCCTGTTTGCAGAGGCCTATGACAAGCTCAACCTGGGCAGGGAGAGGCTACAGCCAATCAGGTCACCCCTCATTGGATTCTCAGGGGAAAAAGTGTATCCCCTTGGATCCATCACACTTCCCGTCACCGCCGGAGTAACACCCCGAAGCTCCACAGTCATGGTCAACTTCCTGGTAATAGAGTGCCCGTCAGCCTACAACATCATATTAGGGCGGCCAGCTCTTAACACATTGAGAGCTGTGCCCTCTACCTACCATCTCGTTCTCCGCTTTTCAACCTCAAATGGTGTCGGAGAGGTCAAAGGGGACCAAATAACAGCCAGAGAGTGCTATGTATCCTCTATGAAGGCTAGGAAGCCCCAAGAAGCATTACAGGTTGAGGTCCTTGACCCAAGGGATGACTCCGCAACAGAAAGAGGAGAACCAGTCGAGGAACTCATCCCTGTGGTTTTAGAAAAGGAGCACCCAGACAGAAGAATTTACATTGGCTCTTCCCTTTCTGAAGAGCTGGCTCCCCTGTTGATTGATTTTTTGAAGCGTAATATGGACATCTTTGCTTGGTCGCATGAGGACCTTGAGGGCATCGACCCGGAAGTAGCTACCCACCACCTCAATGTCGATCCACTGTACAAGCCTGTTCGCCAAAAGTTAAGGGGAACCTCCACTGAAAGGGCCCAAGCCATGGACAAGGAGGTTAGAAAGCTGATTGATAACGGGGCAGTCAGGGAAGTGGCGTATCCGGAGTGGCTCTCCAACGTAGTAATGGTTACTAAGGCTAATGGGAAGTGGCGCCTCTGTGTCGACTTCACAGAACTAAACAAGGCATGCCCAAAAGATAGTTATCCACTGCCGCGGATTGACCTCCTCATCGACGCCACCGCTGGACATGAGTTGCTCACTTTCCTGGATGCATACTCGGGGTACAACCAGATTAGCATGCATCCCCCAGACCAAGAGAAGACATCATTCATCACGCCAAAGGGGACATACTGCTACAGGGTCATGCCCTTTGGGCTAAAGAACGCTGGGGCAACCTACCAACGGCTGGTGAACAAGATGTTCCAGTCTCAGATCGGGCAAACAATGGAGGTGTACGTGGATGACATGCTGGTAAAGAGCCTTGCAGCAGTAGACCACATCGATCACCTCCAAAAAACTTTCAACGTCCTGAGGTCCTATCACATGAAGCTCAACCCTGAGAAGTGCGCCTTTGGTGTGGGGTCTGGTAAATTCCTGGGCTTTATGGTCAATCAGAGGGGAATTGAGGCGAACCCTGACAAGATCAAGGCCATTCTTGACATGAAGTCACCCTCCTCAACCAAGGAGCTCCAGCGCCTCAATGGAAGAATCGCAGCAT